ATTCCCTTCTGTCAGTAAGGGGCTGTGGAGATTGTTGAATTTTATTAAATTAATCAACCGATCTAAGACCACCATAAAAAACTTGGGAGCACTGAGCGACCATTTCGTTCTAGTATGGGGCTCAGCATTCTCAATCTGTGATCGTGCGTACCGGACTTGAAACAAGGACTTCAGCCCCCAGCACAAACGCTTAAATTTACTGGTGAATAGCCTCGAAAGGAAATTCCCTGAATTCTAATGAGAAGCTGTGACCAGTGGAGCTAATCCATGTCAAATGTGAAGCAGTTACTCGCCTAAAACAATAGAAGATTGTCAATCATTTTCGTGGATTGAATGAGATTGGACATAAACAGCTTTGGATGTCAGCTCAGTGGTCTAGAGGTTAGGCTTTAGCGCATGGAACTGGTTTTGCGTTCGATTCCGCATGACGGATCGTGGATGTGCATTGCTAAGAAGTCCTATACTAGGACGTAATAACCATTCAGTGCTTCCAGATTCTCAATGGTGGTCTTACTTATATCAACCCATATATTTCAAAATAATCCATTTGTTTCTGGTGTTTCGTGCAAATGACTATATACTTCCCCATCAATTTCTGCTTCACTATTTGTTTTTTAGACAGGATATTTGTTTCTCGTTACTACAAGAATATTTTGCTACTATATTGATTCGTTTGAAAATTCTTGACTCTTTTCTGCAACCACTAGAGTTTGGTAGGTTAAAATATTTATAATATTTAAATAACTCTCAATTTGTTTGCTCAAAATTATTAATACGGCTACAGATTTCTGAAACTATCTCGTATAAATAGACAATTTTTGCGTGTTAAAAAGCCGTACCTTATATACTTCACGAAAACAGTAATAGACTGTTTTTTATTTAACAAAATGTCTGGTAAGGATTTATAACGATTAATTATGAATAGTGTTGAAAGTAACGTTTGTCTGTATGTGAATTGCAAATAGTATGTTTTTGTTCATGTAACTGAACTGGATTTTTATTTAACTTCTTTGTGTACCCATTGTTTCATGCCATGTATTGGCTCCACCATTAATAATCTTAACATCCATTAGTTAATGTTCATAATAAGCTGAAAATATCAGTTCGGTGGCTCTGTTATCTTTTCTGAAGTTCTTCGTTTTGACGACGATATGTTTGTTAGTCACATTTTTCGTACCTGAACTAAAGTAATGATGAATACAACTTGTGGATTGTTTATCTATGTAGACACAGCTCACATAATGTATTGTTTTTGCTTGTTCAACAAGTAAAAGTTTTCAGGTTGTTTTCTTTCAACTTAATTATAAAACACTGTATAACATCACAAAATATAAGTGAACGTCCCCTAGTTAATAATTAGTAATTAGTTACTCACTAGTAACTAATTTCTAAAGGTAGTTCCGGATTTCTAGTGTGAAGCCGTGATCAGTGGAGTTCAACCACATAGAGTATGAGATACTCACTCGCCAAGTACATTGAAAGATGTTTGCAGATTATTACGAGTTAATTGAATTTAAACATGTAAACCATTGGATACCGACTCAGTAGTAAAAAATTTAAGGTTGCATGCGCAAGACTGAAGTTCTTGGACTCTACTTCAGTGGGAGGGGTAGTGGATGGTCATTTCTACAGAGTCCCATGCCAGGAGGAAGTTGTTGGATAATACCTCGTTATACATTGCTCATGTACTCAGTTCGGTTTTTTAGATTGCTTTCAGATCTAAACTTCAGTGCATGATAAATGAGTAAAGGACAGTTTACAGTTGACTTGATTTCTGTCTAGACGGATTGAGGAATGTTACTTATGTTATTACTGAATTATGAGTGATATTTCTGTGAATATATTCTGATATAAATGATCGATTTTTAAGTGGCTGCTTGAAAATTTAGTCTTCCAAAAATGAGTTTCATTTGTGTTATAAATAATTTTTTTTTCTAGCAGTAATCTTACTAAACTCTTCTTACCGTTACATTTACAGTTTTCATTTTTATTCACAAAATGATTCATCATCGGTCGAGATTAATTCGCATTAGTTATTAAATTTAAGGTGCGATTACGACCTCGTCAATAGTAATGTTTTTTTGTTAACGTATCTCAATAATTAAGTACGGGTTCGCATACTTAAGTACCATCTAAACTTATGATGGTTTGGTATACTACCCGATCATACAAATTGAAATAGATGTAGCATTTCGAGAAATATAAAGCAGATTTCTAAAGTACTGATTTTGAACTTCATTTACTGCTATTTGTTTAACATTATTGATTGGATCCATCTACAAATCCATTTTCATTCTTGAGACCTTCAAGCTGTAGATTTATTATCCGTCTTTGTTTTGATTTTTTTAGAGACGACTTGGGAACCATGGGTACATTTCTGTTCGTCTTCATATCAAAATGAAGTAAGAAACAGTTGAAATATAAATAATTTAGTCTATCCTTTTTTATTAATATATTGGACTGAAGACTGAATATCTGGTCTACAGCCAGTAATAATTATTGAAATATTTATTTAAAATTTGCTTGTAAACATAGTCTCTAGCATTACTATAGACACACGTCTCCATGATAACGTGTGGTATTCAGCTGGTTACTTTGAAACTTAAACAATCAGTTTTTATGGAAGTGTACATCCAACTTTTAAGAAATTATCCACCTTTAGATATTCTTGTTATACAAGATTGAAAATATACTTTTTCCCGTCACATAAGCCAATAGCATCTTTTCATTAAAGTGCAAAATTATCATTCATGTATAGTTATTTTTGGTGCATGTTACATAATAATAATAATAGTAATAATAATAATAACTCGAGAGACAAATAAATGTTGCTATAATTAAGTCATTTAATCAGCATCATTACAATGTTTGTAGGTCGTCTAGTTTTTTTTTCAGTTAACACTCAAAGTTTCTTGTCCAAGACAACTAATTTTTAACTCGAAATTATCTGTTTAGAATCCTACAATGTCATGGAGTTTGATACCAAAAAACAATACAAATGTTACTAATTCCGGTTCAGTTTATCCTATCAAATCATTCCAAACTGAAGATATTCAAGTAAAAAAACTTATTTGCTGTCCGCATATTTTATCTATTTTCTTTTCTTCTAGATGCAAGTGTTTTTACTTCAGTATTGATGTGTTGAAGAAGTTTTCAAATTCTAGTTGAGCTTTTACAATAAATTTGTTATTTTCACATCAGTTTTTTCTTAATTTATACCAGAACAGCCATTCAAATCCTTCATGACTTTTGGCCTGCTAATTATCCCGTAACAAAATCGCCAATCAGAACACTGATTCATACGACATTCGCCCTGTGCCAAGCCAATGACGCGTTAACCAGCACAAGCAACCTAGAGTCAACTCTGAGTCTTTATTGGTTCTTCTCGCCTTGCACGCCCGTTGAGTCCAGTACACAATCTCAGCTTCCACTGTATGAATCATGTATTTCAGACATACTCAGTTTATATACAAGCAAATTAGACCGAACCTCACACCACAAAATAGAAAATAACTACTACATAAGATCAAGCCAAAAAGTGAATGTGAATGTGAGAGACTGTTACCAATAAATCGAGAATAAGTTGAGAATGGTAAATCGTGTCGCAATAGCCAATAGATCAACTGAAGGGTATACGTATATATATATATATATATATATATATATATATATATATATATATATATATATATATATATATATATATATATATATATATATATATATATATATATATATATATATAATCATAGTCCATAAACAATTCCTAGAAGTTACCATTCGTTTGTTCTTCGTTAGGATGTAACAAGATCAGTGAGTAATAAGATTTAAATAGTTTCCTAATTTTTCAAATTATTTAAGAAAAAGATATTGTTTTGAAGGTCAAACATCAGGAATGAAGTTCTAGTAGAAGACAATAATCTTGGTGCATACTATACATATACGAGGAGCTGTGGAAACAGCAGCCACATCCATCAGTGGTTTGAACCAAAACGTTACGAGAAACCTGTGGTTTCTGCTACACTTTTGTACTAATAGACTCGTAAACTCATCCTATCTGACTCCGAACACGATGACGAGCGAAAAACATCAGGTCTAGGTTAACGAAACGTCTAAGGAATGATCGTGAGCAGTGGTGGGCAACGAAAGCAAAAGAGATAAAAAGGTAGTAGCTGTAGATAGCACCAGATAGCTTTTAAGACTAATAGACGAAACCGGAATGAGAAAGTGTGAGACAATCTCAGCAAAGACGACACTTATCTGCTCTCCATCCAGACGTTTAGAACGGTGGGCGGCAGAGTAACATTTTAGCTGGCCTTTACCTACTCTGCAGCTACCCAAAAAATCAGAGTGAAACATTGATATACGCCCCCGAATCTAATTGAAGATAAAAAAGCTATTGCTAATCTGAAGAGCAGCTGGTCGAGATAGACTAACTTCAGAGGTCTTTAAGTATGGTAGTCCAATTTTAGCGGTTAGGTCGCTTATATTTTAGCCAAAATCTGGGAACTGGGCGTAATCTCATCTGACTGGCCTCAATCACTGATCGTCCCAATATGTAAGAAGGGGTCAAAGTCATCCGGTGTTAACCATAGAGGGATCAGTCTGACCAATATGGCATCCAAAATACTAGCCTCAATAATTATCGGTCGCCTAATAAGGACTTGTGAACTACAAACATGAGAAAATTAGGTTGGCTTCAGACCTGGTAGTAGATCCATCTACCACATATTCACCATTCATCAGGTTTTAGAAGACAGGCATGCTAATCACCAATGGTTGGAGACTCTGGGTGACATGGTTCAGGATCGATCACAATTAATTAGGTGTATACATTCTTTGTCTTCCCTTATACCGTGAAATGAAAATTGCTGAATACCTTCATTTCTACGAACTAATTCTTTCTCCCTGTATTGTATCCTTATATGCAATATTTCTTTTATATATTACTACCATTGAGATAACTACTTCTATCTATTTGGTGTTCATCGTGTTGTGGCAGTTATGTATGGTAACTTTGACCTATGCATATATGTGCATAGTCCTTTGTTGTAGATGACTGACTGTATTATACATAAGAAATGATAAATGAGAATTAAGAAATAATTAGGGTAGATGTTCTTATTAGTACGTCTCAATATGAATTATAATCTTAATAATTTCAGTTTCGATAAAAAGAGTTGTCTTTTTAGTAGAACTTTATTATTTCTCACAAATCCTTTGGATGCATTATTCATGAATCATTGTTGTTACATTTCATATTGCATAGTCACTATTGCCTCTTCCATTATTAATTAAAAGAAAACCATTTTTTATTCTAAAGTAACTTTGTATCACAAATTACAGGGAAAGAAAGCTTGAAATACATTGATTTGAAAAAAATAAGCCAATCAATTAAATAGTCATTCATGTGAAAATATTTGTTCATAATTCATTTAATTCAGTACAAGATACAGCAATTATTTTAGTTTGATTACCAATCCACGAAGCTCGAACACTGTACTTGAAATTAGCGAATCCTACGCAAGCTGATCCATGTTCACCTTGACTTGTAAGAGCGACTAAAGCTCCATACCATTTTTTTGGCTAAGCAATATAAATGATTCAACTTTAGTACAGTACTTTGAGTTATGTGGATCAATTATTATCAAATAAGTACCATGGATTTGTAAATATATCAGTAGTAGAATAAATCAGTTTTACCATAAATGTTTACGTAACTGAATAGATTTCCATCTATTTAATATAATAATGTTTTCAATCACACAACGAATGAAACAATTTATTGTTGTAATTATTCGCAATTGTTCATAATGAGTTATTATTTCTAATCTACTAACAAAGTGATAGTTAATCGAAAAAGTTAAATGCTAGGTAGTAATCAGTGTGTTACGTTCTGGTTCTCAATGTTAATCAGCACCCCCAAATTTACGGTTTTTGCTTCAAGTTAGGCGATTCATTGACGTAAAAACGCTGGACGAAATTCTGACTTTAAAAAGAGCATACTGATCAAATATTTTTACATCTTTATGTTACATTACACGAGCAAGCTTGTCAGTGACTCATACTGATTGTTTTACTGGGCAGGAAAATAAACTTCGATTCTGTAGGTTGTGAGGTCCTATGGTATTGTTCAATTTAATTTGTACCCTGATCAAGCATATTGTTGCCAATGACTATTTATTCGACGTTACTGTGGTGTTTGAATGAACTAATAATTCCTTTGTACTTGTCAAATGCTTGATTTCGAATTCTAAATACAGTACATTCGTCTGTGCTTATCTAGTACTTCTTGATCCGATTACGTTATTTCTGGGATTCTTAGTACATACTATAATTTAAATACTCCTAATCATCATAGTTACGTTGTGCTGTTAATATATATTAAGAATCATTATCCGAGGTAATAACACTAAATGGTACATAGATTTTCAATCTCATTATTCCAATTCAACTTTATTGAAGAGATTCATTGATATTAAACTGATTGCCCTTTATTTGTACCTATCAAATTTGTAAGGATGGTCTCGAACTAACCCGATTTAGGAATAGAGAATGATGTGGTTTACTATATTAATGGATTTTCCCTATTTGGAGATATCCATTATTTCCAAGGACTTGATCTGTGATACAATCCCCAAATGAATACAAAAAGCTCCAGCTTTTCTTCAGATAATGCTGAATATTGTCCCGGAAAAATATTTGAGTTCAAGTAGAAATATGAGCACATCACTCGATATTTATTCCGGTCATAGTGCACTTCTGCAAAGCAATTGTTGAAGGTGTAAACCATGTAAATGTAAGTTGCTTGATCCAAAATGTCTAAGCATGTCATTCATGTGGAATGGAAGATGATAGAGATGTGCGCCGATTTTCAAGGCAGTTGATAGAATCATTCGATAAGGTTATGTTCTTGGAACTACAGACAAAAGTAAGATATATACCACATATATCGCTTCTCCAACTACTCTGACTTGTGTTACTGACTGGAGCAATGTAAATTTGGGAAAGTACATGATCGAACTTACATAGTTATGATTCAAATTCATAAATTTTTGCGTTATTTCCACCTAGTCTTTTAGGGAATTGCAAGGTACTAGAATGGGGCCGTTGAGATTTAGTTATCGGAAACCAAAAATCAATCAGTCAAAATCAACATAGGGCTTGGGATCAGTGTGGGTTCACGCAGATTGCTGTAAGACATCATTATAACAAAAAATCAGCAAAACAGCCCAAGTAATAAGTCAAAAAGACAGATTTGGAAAATAAAATTCTGAAAAAGGGACGATTTTGAGGAATAAAAAGTACCAAACAATATTGAATCGCAGGATTAAGGCAAATATCACAGTCGATTCTGAGTTATGTTACCTAAAATGCCAATTTTCTTTGAAGTTACCTAGTCACAATGAAAATAATGATTACTTGACTGAAAATTACAATCTAAGACACGTACGATCACCAAAATCATTTATGTTGAAACGTCAATATAACCACTTCATATAGTGAGTTAATTGATTAAAGCCTGCAAATTCTTAAGACTATTGCATACGTTTGAAAAAGGATTTTATACAGAAATGACTGATCACATTAAATTTTAGTAGAAGCTTCATATTAAAGTAAATAAGTACCATACCGATCTCACGCTTTGCAAAGCTCTTTTACAAGCCTCATTTGGACCAATTCCTTGACGAAGGTAGTCAACGACTTGAAAACTCAATAGGTAGCGCATCATAAGATCTCCATCACCAGTAGCAACAGCACCACCAATCTTAACAAATTCAAAATACAATACAATTATTATACATATTTGATAAAAAGTTTATCGAATTTTCAAGTAATTAGGCTTCAAACAAACTAACAATTAATGACAGCTGTAACACATCTTGTAAATAAGTTACTAGATATTACAACCAACTTCTTATACATTGAAATTTGTCTACCTTGTTTGTAATGATAATGTTAAATTCCATCAACTATGGCTTTATTCATAAGTCAACTAAGCGAGTGTTCTCTTGATTCGACGTTGATTAGATGAAATAATTTTTAATGGACTTAGATATTTTCACAGTTGAAATGACAAACTTATGCTAGCTAGACTACGATTGAATAGTGCCGGTCATTTCATCCTCAGATACCTAACGAAACTGTTTTAAATCTATTCGTAAGGAAGAGTTATTTCGTTCACAAACATAAACTTTAGGATGGGGCCAGATGTCGATTAAAGCTTAAAGATTAATTAGTTTTCATCAAGTACGCCGTTAAGTTTCAAAGTGTTTCCGAAAATATTGGAGTCTATAGCAAATCACAGTACACTGAATATTTGTTAATAACAAAAAAAGAGTATATGAGATATTAACGACCATCAAGAGAAAAATTACGCTCAAACTCTAAGATTGTTATATTGACTGTTTACAGTGATATAAAAGCTCATACCAACATGTTGTTTTTTGTGATGATTTTCATACTCAAAGATATAGACATTCTACCATTATAAAGTACATACGTTTTTAACAAAACACCGAAGTTTAAACACATAATATTCAGTGATCTAAACTATGTTAATAGAGTCAATCTTTCATTAAAATACGATTATAATAAACCAAAATTATTGATTTTATCAGAGATACAAGTCAATCTATTAAAAAGGTTTAATGAAAATAAAACTTTATGGATACATTATTCACGACGTAACCACCAGCTCCAGGAATAGGTGAATCTCCAACACGTCCAGGAATTTTATATGTTGACCCACTGGTTGATGTACCGACAGCCATTGAACCATAAGCATCCAAAGCAATCACACCAATTGTATCATGATTATTGATATCTAATTTGTTGACACGTTGATCACTCGATTCAAGTAAATTAACATCTAAATTGTTAGAGAAATATTGTTATTGGAAAATTATTATTTAATAATAACTCTATTCATTATCAACTTTGCCTGTATTGTTATCGTAATCCGATTCGTCTGATAGTAAATAATCTACGTTCGGACGTTTTTATATAACAACATAACTTAGTTTGAATGAAGGATTCAAATCTAGATTGATTTAATCGTTAGATAGTACTGTTTTTACTTTCTCCTATGTAGATCAATATGTAACATAAAAGATCATTCAGCCTTGAACAAGTGGTTCGGAGATTAGAGCCTTTCCTTCAACTGCTTTAGTTCCGACACTTGTTTAATGAGTAGTCCCTAAATAAACTGTCCAGCTTAAAACCCACTGCACAGATGCATACTTGAAAGGTGAGTCGCAATAACCAAGCTTTTCACTAAAGATATTACGTTCTAGTTAAATCAGTTGACAGTGAATGATGTGTACAATTTCAATCAACCTAATTTTATTCTATTCAAAAATGATTTCATTTAAAGTATTATTATGCTGCGTAAAATCATTTCTTACCATAAATTGTCAATAATAAAGAATACCTAGTTAGTATTTGAATAATATACAGGTTTCCATAAATTTCTGTGCAAAATCTCAATCGTTAGATATTCAACCTGTAAAAATCTTAGTACATAATTTTAAAGAGAGCAAGAACAGACCTTTGAACAGAATAACATGAGTTCATTTTATTTCGTTTGGTCCACATCATTTATTTACAGCCTGTATTATTTTATAATTATCATAAATGTTAACACACTTATGCCAGAATAGCAATTTGAATGTAAATATGTATCGTCATGTTGGAATGACGATCGGAATAAAGTTTATAAAATTGAAAAGAATAAAGTCGTGCCAAATAATATAATGTGAGAGAGAATATTCCAGAACATTCAAATAGTAAGTAAAGTTCATAGGGTAAAAGAAATCAGTTGATTATGTAATAGAACAACTGAATACAAGTTAATAGTGATTAAGAATAACGAGTTAAGATCAGTCACTTAAAAAATAAAGTTATGAATTTGAAAAAAAATTGGAAATGGTAAAATCAAAATCGAAAAACGCTGTAACAATGACATAATAAAATGACAGTAATTTTGTTATGATAAGAATATTTCTTCAGTTTCTTCCTGAAAAATATAAATACGGTCTGAGACATTGGATTGTTATGGCTTCAGTAGATTTAAAAAGATTAGAGTTTAATTGTCGATGGATTATCTTGAAAGATTTCAATGTGACAACTTGATTTCCCGTGTCAAAGAGATGTCCGGTAATAGCATCACTGAGAGTAGTAGAATTTGATGAAGTAATCACTTCGCCTTTATGATGCTAGTAATTTTTATGCTCTGATATCATTCCCTAGTTTAGTGTTACCAAAAATAGTTAATGAAAATATTGGTGAGGAACTATGTCTGTTACACATATAAAATCCTGTGAAATACTGTAAATATTGACAGGAAAATTTTAATATCTAATAATGATTGTACTTGATTTTAATCATGGTCAACATTCTTAACGATAACTAACTTCACCGCAACAAGTTAGGAACAAAGCCAAATAAACCTTTAAATTTGAAAACCATACAATCAGTCAGACAGTTTATTAAGCGGAATACTGAATAATAATCCGTATATATAATATTAGTACAGAGGATATTTAAAATCTTAATTGATGCTTATATTATTTGAAAAATTTTAGTATTGCAGATGTGTTTACTAAGTATATAAATTATGCACTACCAACATCTTTTTATTAAAGGTGTTAATAATAGTTAGAGATATTCCAGGAAATCAATATGTATCTGGAAACATTGAAACTACAGCTCAATATGGCGCTCATTTAAATCGTAGCCAAATTATTGTATGTGACGGAACCATTGACTTCAAAACCTAAGTATGGAATTAGAAAAACGAGGTACGAATCTAGATGAAACTAATAAACTAAACGAAAACATTACACATCTGTTTCAGCATATTTTTATTGATAGATATCTCATTGAAACAATGTACCTATATTAAATATTAAAGAGCGTTAAGGTCCCATAGTCACCTTAGGTCACTCCACTCCGACGTTATAGTATAGATCAGCCAAAATGACACAACTGTATGTACAATTTGGCGAGAATATCACAGATAGTTTATAGATAGATATTTTATTTAGTACGGAAATAATGATTGTCAGTTTATTTCAAAATCTTAATCATTTGTATTAATACTTACCAGAAAGGTTCCATCTATATGGTCCACATGATATTTTAGGATCTGGAATCCAATTTGATGATTTACGAAAATTTGGTTGGCAATTATTGTTTTTCCATTTTAGCCATAAATCATGTGATTTAGGCGTATCTAACGAAGTTGGTTTATATCCTCTTGACTTTGCGAATTCCGCTGCAAGTGGCCCAACTAGTAATGTATGTTGGGTGCTTAATAAGACATCACGTGCCACTTGGGATGCTTGTCGAATATCAGGCATTGATGCTACTGCACCAGCCTACAAAAATGTAGTTTTCAAAGAAAAATCGCAGATAATTTCTAAAATATCATTGATATAACTCGAGAATTTCCTGTAACTGAAACAAAGTAAGCGTGTTCTCGCCACAAAACACTACATTCAAAAACTGTAGAAAAAATCTAATAGACTGAACCAAGATAACGAAATAATACAGCATAAACATGCTTATATTTAGTAGATCGGAAAATTTTTGTGTATTATTCATTCTTATTCAGATTCACATGATTACATAATAGATGAAAGAATATTAGTTTGTCTTCTTCGTATCAATATATTTACATACACTTGTCCAATTCCGACTCACTATGTTATTTTGTAATTCTATATGCTAACCAAATTTACTGAATTCCACATCAACTAGCAGTTTTCTATGATTTTGGTTAAATGCTTCTTTTAATATATATAAAGATGGATAGTGGCTAGCAGTGAAGTCCACGTTTCGTCCTACCTGGGACTCGTCAGCTGGATATACCCGCACCACAGAGTTGATGTTCACTTTGGGACTCTAACCCAGCACCGTTAGCTTCAAACGCCATAGCGTTATCCACTTATCTACTGAGTCCTGATAGCCATCCGCTTGAGTAATGGGATGAAGTTATATTCACTTGGTGTTGTTTACTTTTATCTTCCCATTGTTATTTAGGGCTGCAATTTGGTGTTCATCTTCTATGATAATGAGGTGTGACAACTTGGACCGATGTATATATGTTTCTGGCCCTACGTTGTAGCTGACTGACTGAATTTAGTCAAAAAATTATGCTGACGAATACATATAAGTTTATAGGGCATTTTCAAGGTTAGTTCATTTTCATAATAGTCGGTTTGAATAATCGTCATTTGATGGCTCATTTTTAAGTCTACTTCGCAAAATAAATATACTTGACTATCATATATAAAACTTTAGTAGTCTGTCATCTGATGTGATGCCCCCTTTATCCATGGGTTTAAATAATAGCTGTGTTCCTAGTTTCACTGAAACTGATGTACGAAGATGTCTCCAGTTGCTTAATTCATCTCGATGTTTGGGACCTGATGGTATCCCAAACATCCTTTCTAAAAAGTGTGCTGACGTCCTATGTTATCCGTTCAAAACTATCTTTAACAGATCCTTCTTATCTAATCTCATACCGAAAATGTGGAGAAAGATGAAGATAATCCCCATACCCAAGAAAGCATCTGATGATAAGAATGTAAAATTTAGACCTATTGCAATAACTTCACCCTTCCTCAAAACAATGGAAAAATTATTATTACTTCCACTTCAACCTGAGATAAAAGAGCATATTGACCCATATCACTTTGCTTACAGATGCAAAAGAAGCACCTTAGATGCTGTTGCTGTTCTGCATCACAACATAGTGTTCAACTTAGAAAAGGGTAAGAAGTATGTTCGATGTGCTTTTCTGGACTATACTTCAGCTTTTGATTCTATACCAAGACAACGTTTACTTAACAAGTTAATCAGCGTCAACACTGACAGCTGGATAACCAACTGACTATGTTCCTATCTCTCTGGAAGGGAACAGTACACTGTGTTTAGGGGAAAGTGTTCAGAGTCTCTGCTGTCTCATGAAGGTGTACCACAAGGAGCTGTTCTTTCACCTCTTCTTTTCTCTATTTTTTCTGCACGATCTGCCATCTTCCACAGAAAACACTTTTTTGAAATATGCGAATGATCTCAGTGTATGTATGCCTATCTCTTCCTCTTTACATCCCATAGAAATGAATGAGTTTTTGTCTCGTATTGATTGTTGGTCTGTTGGTAATGGTCTGATACTTAATCCGTCTAAATGTCAAGCTGTTAACTATAGCATGAGACATGAACGGAATCTAAACACCATTTTGAGATCCCATAATGTTTGTACCATCGGAGACTCTTTGATAAACACAGTGTCGAAGGTCAATTATCTTGGTGTCACCTTTTCCTCTGATCTGTCTTGGTCTTCCCACGTTTTGTTGTTATCAAAGAAGGTTTTCCGTCTGACCTACTACATAAAGAGACTGCATGCTCTTGAGATTACTCGTCATTTACTCTTACAATTTGTCAATTATTGCATATTACCTATTATTCTTTACTGTTCTCCATTATTCTTTCCCGGGCTTTTGAGGAAAGACTTTGCTGTATTGCGGAGAGTGCCGAAGGCAGTTAGCAAGATGTGTGATGAATCTTTCGAGGTCATAATTAATATGGTTGTAGATAGACATCTAAAGTCATGCAAACTCCTGGCAGGTGTTATTTTATCAGATACTAACCATCCTCTTCACTCTTACCTTTCTCCTTGTATATCTTCTGGTAGAACGAGACGTAATCACATTAAAACGCATGCACGCAAGCAAAAGTATAGAAGTTATATAATACCTTACCTAGCAAATATACTCTGTGACGAACAGGTTGTTAGAGTTAACCTAGTCAATAACCTGCATTCTTAAAATGTCTTTAATTTTAAAAGTTGCGCAGTTCTCCGTGGTTTTTTTAAAGCTTTTTTTGTATTTGTTACTGTTTTTTGTGCAAGTAACTTGTTGAAATACCCTATGCTGAGAATTCTATATTGTACCAAAATATAATATTGAATAAAGCCATTAATAATAATGATAAAATTGATTATCATATATAAAACTTTAGTAAATACATACCTCCATTGTTTTACCATCCATCACCATTGCGTCTAATAAAGTGTGTCCATTTTCATCAGGTGAACAGCCATAACCGACACTTTCAATATTTGGATCATCTTCTGCATTTGTACATGCAGCAACGACAGCATCTATTGATGAACCACATACTTTGGAATTCGATGGACTAAGGATATTCCATCCAGCATCAGTTGCATTTGAAAATGGCCATGTATTCACTATTATAATAGGTGACTGATGTTCACAACTGGAAACTATGATCACTGTTAACAATAAAGTTAAGAAATGTAAGATTGGACAAACAATCGACATAAGTCCAAAGTTCAATTAATAAAAATGAAGTGAATTAGTTACCGAACAGGTTTATTTACGTAACATATAAACAAACATAACCAACTCGGTTTTAGCAAATCAGTGACGAGAAATTTCAGTTACAGTATTTATTAATATTGAAATTGACATATTCACAAGTAAGCGAACCAAAAGTTGATTGGATATTCAAGTAATATATACTTTGATACATGTATTATTATCGATTCGAATTAGTTACTGCCTATTGTAATGACTGTTCTTATTCAATAAATTAGCACAGATTATTGTTAGGCCTTGAATATAAAATATCCAACTGATTAAGATGGGAGTTTACTTCATTACTTTTGTAAAGTCTCTTCACTATGTCTAAATATTTATTATAACAAACTGAACGAACAATCCTATATAAAAAGTCTTGGATATCTACCATAAAAATTAAATTATTCAACTGCACTTATTATACCAAATAACTAGTCGATCCGAATAATTTTACAGTTCTGGAGTATTACGTTAATCTTGTTGACAACAAGTGTAGTCTTACAAACCAAATATTCTTACAGATCAGATCACACTCAGAACTCCAAGATTTTGAAATTAACTAATTAACTCTTAAATAATTGAATTCATCTTTGTCAACTGGTTTTTTTTAATTATCGGGTCCCTGCTACAGTGCTGCTACTGTCATATGTCATGAATGCTATCATCATCGTATAAAAAACTGGTCGAAACAAATAAAAGGAAATTTTGTTGAGTAAATCACTGACTTTATATTGATTTTCGGACAAATTTCTCTATACTAGACTAAGTAGGTACACTTAATGTGTGAACTTTAAATGTGATTTTCTGAAATATTAATAAATGTTACTATAGATTATCATCTCTGATAATTTGTGTTCTTTCATTTTCTGCTTTATTCTAGCAATCAACTATTTGTACTAATATTATGGACAGAATATAGGAAATTACAGAATCTGAAGATTTATTCGTTTACTGTCTATATATGGCAGGGTTAAACTTCACATTGTCTATTCATCTGAGTGTATCGTATTCAGTAATTAAGGTTATGTTTTCGTTTATCTAATCACTCACTTGTAGATATTTTGAAATAATTTATACTATAGAAATAATTGGAGACATGACTTGCTAAGTTGTAATTTTTCTTCCATCATGACTGAATGTGCTATACTTGACACGTCCGTCGCATGATGGACTTGTAGTTTCGTTGTAAAAAACTTTACATCATTCATGTGAGCCTGCAGAACAATAGAGGAAACACGCTCTCCGTCATGAATTAACATAGCGCAAATAATAATCTCTGCTTCACTTTGGTTGGTTGCCAGGTACAGAGTGAAAATTGCTAAAGATAGTGGAGTTTATCCGTATCCATAAATATGGATCAGAAAAAACAGTATTACTAGTTTGATTTTAATAAACGTACTTGATGTAAGGCACAATTAAGAAAAAGAGTTCACTTCAGTTTATTTGAATGAACATTAGTACAATAAAACTCCTCATTTAGAGAAGAGTTGAGTAAAAAATATTCTATTCTGACTTTCGACATAATCGATATATATATAATCAATAACTTTGCCTGTAGCAGTTCTAGGATTACTACCGGTCCCAAGACCCGGTAAAGTAGGAGGGTTGGGCATAGGATTTGCAAACTCGTCCCGTATAAAAAGACCATGCAAAAAAACGCCAAGTTAAAACATCTAAAATATGACCTAAGGGTTAAAGGAGGAAATAAAACGCTTAATGATGAAAGCCTTAAATCTTCGAAAGTCACAAGGAAGATGCCTCTTCTAACAACCACGGCAACAAGTTTCATAGGAACATTGAACAACCGGAAAATGTGGGAGCCTGGAAGTACCAGGCAAATAGCAACAGAAATGAAAGAGACCCAAACGACGAAGTCGGAATGGACGACACCAGGTATAAAGATATCATGAGACGATATGGACTAACTAGGAGAAACGGATAAGAATGGTGAGAAACTTACAATTGGTTATAGGTAGTACAACATTCCCACACAGACATATGCACAAAGCTACATGGATCTCACTCGACCACACTACAGAGAACCAGATCGGGGTGACTAAAACACTTCAGAAAGACAATGGAAGACGTGAGAACCAGGAGAGAAGTTGACATATCTTTAGATCACCACCTGGCTGTGGCTAAGATGGAACTGAAGCTAAAGAAGCACCGGACAACTGGATAAGCAGCATTAAAAAGGCTTCATACAGCCCTCCTTCGAGATACAAGCTCGACGAATTCAAGATAACTCTCAGCAATAATTTTCGAGCCTTGGAAGAATTACTCGAAGAATGCGAAACTACTATGGAAGACAACAGGAGAGGGATCAAAGAAGCATTGACTTTAACGTGTCAGGAGGTTCTGGACCACAACAAGCACCGTCATAAGGAATAGGTCTCTATTGAAACTCTGAGCATCAGGAAAGGTTTTTAACAGTGCGTTGCCGAACCACATGAAAGATTTCGGTAGACGTTCAACTTCGAGATCAACAAGCTGGATTCCGTAAGGATCGGTCGTGCACAGACCAAATCACTACCACAACCATCATCAAAAGGGTAGAAGTATTTATAAACAATTGTTTACGTAAGATACTGAATGTTCGTCGGTCGGATAGCATCAGCAATAGCCCACTATGGGAGAGAACAAACCAGCTTCCAAATGAGGAGGAAATTAGAAAAAGGCATTTGAAGTGGATAGGGTACACATAGGAGAAATCATCAAACTGCACCGTGAAGCAAGTGCTAACTTGGAATTCTGAAGGGAAAGGGAAAGGAAGAAGATCAATGAGCACACTACGTCAAAAATCAGAAGCAGACATGAAAAGAATAAATAGCAACTGGAAAGGATTGCCCAGGACAAGGTTGGATGGAGAGTGCTGGTAGGCGGCTTATGCTCCTCCATGAGGGGTAACATGCGTAAGTAGGTAATAATAAATTTTTATATATCTCATATCAATCAAATGTCGGCAAGCCAGTTAGCAGTGTTGCAAATTGAGTTAATAATGAAACCAGATATTTTTAAGTTAGAGAAACTGGGTGATTTTAATGTTCAAAATTATGATTGCACAAATAAGTTAAAACAGTTCACAAAACGCTTGCAAAATAATTAGAAAAGCAGTTTGGTAAATTAGTTATTAATATTAGTTATGTAAGAAGAAATATATGATTCATGTGAACACAAGAGACTTACCTTTTATGGAATCACGCCTAACGTAAATTAATAGGCTTTATTATGGTCACATGTAGTTAACGAGAACACAGGCGATTACAACCGAATGTATTGGAGAACAGTATTACAGAATCGTTTAGAAAAATCTGAGAAACAAACAGTAATACTTCATTTGCAAAATATCCATCAATTATCTCAAACCTTGTTGTTCCTTCGTTTCCATAATGATCACTCTCGTTGTCTTCTCTTCTATTTTCTCAACCTTCTGCCGCCAGACATTACACTTTCGACTGGTGATAAATATTACTTATATCTGTTGACATCAGTAGCCCACACCACAACACCTAAGTCTATGTTCTAAATAATTGTTTTTTCTGCTAACTAAAATTGTATTAATTTGAAGTTATTTATTCACTGAGGAAGTGACCTACACTAGTTGCAAAGCATCATATCTCCAATATTTTACCGATTGAAATGATTCAGACCTACTCATAATTTATAAAGCGATAACCGGTACAATGAGAAATAGTAAAATATGCGATTATTTGAATCTATAATATTTAAAAAGCCTCTTGTTCCCATTTTTATTAACGTGACATTAAATAAAATGATTGATATTTTCTGTTTTAGGTACGATATAACACATTATACACTATATGTCTACAATATTTTCCTCTTTTTCGAGTATATATAAATTATTTAATGATATTATACAGCAATCTAAAATAAACTATGTGTTATAAGGCTCGGTTTTACTTCTTCTAATGTTATAACGGTTGGGTTTCCACGTATGGGACGTTAATTTACCTTAAATGACTATCTACACTAGATTCCCTCCCAGCGTTAACTTTAAATATGCCTTTCTGCAGCGAGAAAATATGACGGGACCCACCACTAGTTGACAAAAAACAGCAAGTGTCAGCTTTTTATCAAAAATTTATGCTTTTATGTACAAACACCCTGAAAAAGTGGGACTAACGTACAAAAACGATAGGATGGAATGAATACTTGTTGAAATATACTGTATTTACAAACCAGCATAAAAATTGCAGACAATAAAAATCAAGTCCATTTCTTTATGTTATGTAAACTGTCTCTTCTGCGCGTCGTTTTTTCGCAGCTAGTATACCTGGCTTTGTTTGAGCATCCGGATGATTGGCAAGTTCGTGAGGACACGTTGACACAGGAGATTGAATTAATAATTGTTTTAAATCATAAAATACAGGGGCATCTTCTTTCGTAAGTAGTGAGATTGCAATACCAGATTTACCAGCGCGTCCGGTACGCCCAATACGATGTACATATTCTAAGCAGAGAAACACGCAATGTAAAACTTACTAATCATTAAATAAAGTTATGCTGAGTTCATGTAAATAATCTCACAAACATTTCAATTAGGGACTTAGATATATTTACATGAATGAGCAAGAAATATGTGTCCAAAAGCCACATATAAGTGTATTGGACAGTCCCTACATTTAGTTACAGAGAAGGTCAATTTGAGGTCATACATACTGTCAACAATAATTCAAGAAAGAAGAGGGACGAAACTGACCAGGTCATTGAGACATGTAACACAAAGGGTTTCTAAGAAGACAAAGCTATGGTGTCATCATAAATATCAAAGTTATTTCACTCAGATTATAAGGATCCCTGAATGACAGTCGTGTTGAGATTAAAGCCCACCATTCAAAATCACTGAAGATGTGATATCTGCAAAGAATGTCTAGCTTATGTTTGTACCATAACACCCTTTGATACAGTATGCAGAAGAGTTTCTAACAATGTCTTGACACCAAAAGAGTGATCTGTCAACGATAAAATGTATCTCAGACTTTGAAGAGTTATATGACCTTACAATTGAGAGTTAAGACAACTAATTAATTTAAATACCACTATTATATCGAGTGCAGAATGTATCAAAGTAAATGCCCTGGTATGACCGTGAGTGGGGAGACTGCTCTCAGTCTTAAAATGCTCTCACATGACCACGCGTATACGGCCGCTGCCAGGGACGTCCTAATCACTGCCTTCTCGAGCCAAGGGGTACTTCTACAAAAGTTAGAGGCCGAAAAGCGGATTTCTGGTGCTTTAACCAGGATGGTGGATACGGGGGTTCGAAAGCCCTGATTTCAAGCCAATGGTGCATGTGCGCTCCAGGATCCTGAGGAAACAAAAAGCGTATGAACCTATCGTTGTTCGACGACTACCATGAGACTGCATTTCCTTACGTCGCCCCACTGTCTTGTACATTACACCTTTAGGTCAAAGGCTCTAAGAATAGCCCCTTGAGAAAACCAGCCCTCACACAAACCAGATGACTTGTGTGCCACATGTATATTTGATGTTTCCTTGTATGAATGTCTAAGTTTAAACAAATAAATAATCTAAGTAAACAGCGAAAAAATGATTAGCTTACCATCAATAGTTTTAGACATGTCATAGTTTATAACCATTGACACGTCTTTGATATCAATACCACGACCGGCAACATCAGTTGCAACTAAGATCTCCTTTTGACCAGACTTTAAACTTGCCAAGGCATATTCTCTTTGTTCCTGTCCTTTGCCACCATGTAGAACAACAGCACTGTATCCAAGTTTTTCAAGTCCTTTAGCAAGTACATCTGCGCCTTTTTTCTGATTGACAAAAATGATTACAGGTGGATCAAGTCCTGCAGCAAGTATTTCTAATAGTTTTCTCCTGCAAAAATGAAATTTAAGTCATTTTGATGTTAAGGCGTTCGTGGATAAAACTCTAGATGTAGCAACAAACTAAATAATCCAATTTTTAGGCCTACAAGAACTTGTAGTTTAAGATACTTAGTTTCTAAAAACAATTTGTAATAACTCACTTTTGAATGAGAAAAATAGATCTAAGGAAACGCATAAAGACATCGGGAATCCGTTAATAAGAATTGTTCAGAAGCTATTTGTCCCAGTTCATAAACATCAAAACATAAGTCCATATTATGTGATACTTTTCACAACTTCATATATTGGTATAATTTGTCTAAATATTGTTTCTTCAGATACAAACCCACAAGAGGTGATAAAATCTTTACGAAGTGGTCGATACGCTCAACAACTTTACTCCCTACCATAAGTTCACGCAGAACAATTCTGAAGCAACATTTGGTATTTTAATGGAGACAGAAAGTATGTACGTACTATTAATCGATTAGGACACTGCACTTTTCTTTCAGTAAATCGAAATACAGGTATGGAGCTCATTAACAAATTATGTTAACAGGATAACAGATGTTAAAATGAAAGTTCCCGTCTTCAGCACTCATCACAGATATAGAGACAATGAAGTCGTGAAGATTAATATACTTGTTATTGATAAAGTAACTAGTTTTATTGCATTCAATAAAAATAGATTGAATCTGTCTTTGGCCTAGCAGTCAGTTCTCCACAAGAATTATCGACATGACTAAAATCGTTTCTTATAATTCAGAGCGAGCACAACATATTAAGATTAAATTTTCAATAAATACGGTTTTATAAGTGCCAGCTGCAATTTATCAATTGTACTAATGATTCGCGACACTACCGAAAACCAATGTAAAAAATAAACAATGATAATCTGGAGCATGTAAGTAAAAGTGGTGTCAGATTTGTTAGTCTTGGAATATTTGAATTTATAACCAAAAGGAAATCGACTTAGCTATAAACATTTGATTATTATCAGTATGAAAAAACTACCTCTTCTCTTGTTCTGAAACCATATAAACAATCTGTTCCACTCGTTCTGTGGGTTTGCCAGCACTTCCAATATACACCATTGCAGGTCGCCTTAAATAGGAACGAGCAAGACGTTCAACTGCTGGAGGCATGGTGGCTGTGAACATGACAGTCTGACGATACTTATGTTTTGTTGCGAAATTGCTTAATAGCTTCGAATCATCCTCAGCATCTTCATTATCAGGTTTTTCATTTGTAACTGGTAAATATGTGAGAATATTGTTGACTTCAGGTTCGAAACCCATATCAATCATTTTATCAGCCTGTTAATTTAAAAACGTCAGAAATAAATAAAATTCAAAAACATTTACAATCAGATGGCGAAGGCACATATCATGGTATGTCGATTTACATAAACATGCAATTTATCATCGCAAAATACCACTTTATTTTTAACTAGGACTGTTATTTATTTTATTTCAATACACAGATATTGGTACAAGGAGGCACCAAATACATATGCGCCACACAAATCTCATTCGATATGTGTGAGGGCTGTGATACTGCTCGGGTGCCCAAACCGAAGCAGGTGGTTATCTTAGGGGGCCACACCCCGAGCCTTTGACCTAAAGGTCTAACCCACAAGCCAGTGGAGCATCGTAAGGAGATGCAGTCCCATGGAAGCCGATGACCAACAATTGGCTCGTACGCCATTTGTTCCCGCAGGATACTGGAGCCCATGTGCACCATTGGTTTGGAATCCGGTTAAAGCTGCAGACATTCGCTTTTCGTCCTCTCATTTTCGTAAACAACACCCGTTCGCGAGAAGGCAGTGAGTAGGACTTCCCTGGTAGAGGCTATATACGCGTGGCCATGTGAGAGCATTTCGAGAGGGAGAGCGGACTCTCCCCACTCTCGGCCGCAGCAGGGCATTTGGGGACCAACTAGGACTGTAGGTTCTCTAAGGTGACTACCGGTTACTAGACCTGGTAAAGGAGAATGGTTGTGCATGGGGTCAGCAACTCTATCTCATAGAAAACAATCTTGCCAAAAACGCTAACAAGTATAAACAATTTAAACCATTTACGCTCGGCCCTCCAAGTTGAAGGAAGAATTCTGACACCTCTTGTTGAAAGCCGAGATCCTTTGGAGGTCACGAGGCCGACGCCTTTTCTTACAACCAGAACAACGATTAACATAGGAAAATGGAATGTCCGGGTAATATAGGAGACAGAAAGGACCAATCAAATAGCTGTAGGAATGAGGAGATACAAATGAGCGATGATCGGAATCAGTGAAACCCATTAACCCAAGCTGACAGCAAACGTTAGGTACGCGAGAGATGATGTTGTACTCTGGTCACAAAGAAAAACATGTTTCGTACACACAAGCAGTTGCACTGATGCTGTCCAAAGAAGCACGAAGAGCACTCATAAAATGAGAATCTCATGAATCCAGGATCATCAAAGCATCATTCAAAACAAAGGAGGGAATTACGACGAATATTACTCAACATTATGCCAACACCAATTATACTAATGACGATGATAAAGATCGGTTCTACAGAAGGCTGCAATCGATCGCGAAGAAACACACAGCAAAGAACCTGAACATTCTGATGAGAAACTTAAATGTTAAAGTCGGAATGGACGACACCAGGTATAAAGATATCATGAGACGACATGGACTAACTAGGAGAAACGGACAAGAATGGTGAGAAACTTACAAATTGGTTATGGGTAGTACAACATTGCCACACAGACATATGCACAAAGCTACATGGATCTCACTCGACCACACTACAGAGAACCAGATCGGGGTGACTAAAACACTTCAGAAAGACAATGGAAGACGTGAGAACCAGGAGAGAAGTTGACATATCTTTAGATCACCACTTGGCTGTGGCTAAGATGGAACTGAAGCTAAAGAAGCACCGGACAACTGGATAAGCAGCATTAAAAAGGCTTCATACAGCCCTCCTTCGAGATACAAGCTCGACGAATTCAAGATAACTCTCAGCAATAATTTTCGAGCCTTGGAAGAATTACTCAAAGAATGCGAAACTACTATAGAAGACAACAGGAGAGGGATCAAAGAAGCATTGACTTTAACGTGTCAGGAGGTTCTGGACCACAACAAGCACCGTCATAAGGAATAGGTCTCTATTGAAACTCTGAGCATCAGGAAAGGTTTTTAACAGTGCGTTGCCGAACCACATGAAAGATTTCGGTAGACGTTCAACTTCGAGATCAACAAGCTGGATTCCGTAAGGATCGGTCGTGCACAGACCAAATCACTACCACAACCATCATCAAAAGGGTAGAAGTATTTATAAACAATTGTTTACGTAAGATACTGAATGTTCGTCGGTCGGATAGCATCAGCAATAGCCCACTATGGGAGAGAACAAACCAGCTTCCAAATGAGGAGGAAATTAGAAAAAGGCATTTGAAGTGGATAGGGTACACATAGGAGAAATCATCAAACTGCACCGTGAAGCAAGTGCTAACTTGGAATTCTGAAGGGAAAGGGAAAGGAAGAAGATCAATGAGCACACTACGTCAAAAATCAGAAGCAGACATGAAAAGAATAAATAGCAACTGGAAAGGATTGCCCAGGACAAGGTTGGATGGAGAGTGCTGGTAGGCGGCTTATGCTCCTCCATGAGGGGTTACAGGCGTAAGTTAGCTTTACATCTACTAGACAATCATTCAATAACAAAAAAGCCAAAAACTGTCCAACTTTGACTGTTCTAAAATATCAGTACTTACTTCATCCAAAACGATGTAAGTACATTGGTTGAGTACCATATACCGGTTTTCTAGGACATCATTTAAACGACCAGGAGTACCAATAACTATTTCTGCGCCCATTCGGAGCTTTAATGCTTGATCTTCACGCGAGAGGCCACCAATTAACGAAACAGTTTTGATTCCCAGTGGTCGACCGAATTTTACTGTTTCTTCCTCAATTTGCTGTGCCAACTCTCTAGTAGGAGCCATAATAATAGCATATGGTCCTTGCTCTGTGTCCTTTTAATAACTGATTAAAAAGGAGCTTAAATTACCTCAAGTCTCTCCAGTTTTGGAAGTCGCTGAATCCAATTCAACAGGGGTATAAGGAAAGCTGCTGTTTTCCCTGAACCTGTTTCTGCAACACCAATAATATCACGGTTTTGCAGACCTATTGGTATTGCTTGGCGTTGAATTGGTGTTGGTTCAGGATAACCAACCTAAAGGGATTATGAAACTGGGCTAACATCTATACCTTTTTAATTACATCCTTAAGTTCATCAGCAACATTCATTTCCGCCCAAGACCTGAGGGGGTTTGGAATGTTACCTCCCTTGGTAGATATATTAAAATCTTCGCGAAAGATTCGCCAGTCGCGTTCAGTCATCTGATCAAGGGCCTTTTCTGTCCAGTGCCTGTCATCCCATTTCTGCTTAGCTTCACGCTTTGCCACACCACTTAGACGTTTCCTAAACCATAAGAAAAACCGAATGATCAGTTACTTTTCTTGAACTTTCTGGGTGTCAGAACGGCGGCTTTCTAACAGCTTTGAGTAAAAGCGTCCAATTTCTTTTTTTTGTTGCTGATAATTGTGAGGAATGTAAACACTTCATTACCTTAATATCAATACCACCAATATGTCCACGGCCAAAAAACTGGATTTGATGCTTTTCTTTGTAAAGCGGGTTGTAATCCTGGCTAGTATCATCGGCGACATCCCAGTCAAATACAAATTTCCTCTCATTAAGTCGCCTCGGTCGACGCTTAGTCAGACGCTTTTGACCCAAGTAGCGCTCTTTGATAGCTTGTTCTTCTTGTGAAATGTTTACCTTATCACCTGGACCTTCTTCTTGAGCTGCTCGTTTGCCAGTATTTCTAAAGTTTCTGTGCTGCCTCATTCTTTCTTGAAAATCTTCTGCGCGTCTCTTTCGTTCCAGATCTAAAAGCATAACAATAGACAAGCGTGTAACCTTTAGCCCCTTCAAGATATTCCGTCTGTTTTTTGAAGGCCTCGATCTGTTTTTCACGTTGAGCTTGAACTTCAGCTTGTCTTCTTTGGATGGCTTGCTGAATACGCTCCTCCTTAGATATAAATTTCGGTTTGATTAATTCTGCCTCTTCCGCCTTCCTTTTTGCAATCAGCTCCTCCAGAGAGATAGGAACGCGTTTTGGAACATATGGAACGTCATCAATTTCTTTTTTGGGACTTCCAAGATCTTCTACTTTTGCTTCATTCACAGGTGGTTGAACAACATCACCATTATTAAGAGAACTAAAGGTAAGACTAACGAAGAGTACCATTTCTCCTTGTTGTCATGCCTATGTTTTTTCTTTTTCTTCTTATGCTTCTTTTCTTTCTTAGCCTTTTTTTCTTTCTTCTTGTGCTTTTTTACTTCAGCTTCTTTATCAAGCTTTTCTTCCTTTCCTAAATCACTGAACAAATTTTAGGTCAACGATATTGGTGCTCACTTTTCATTTTTCAACTTGCATCCCTCCTCATCGCTGAGATCTACATCAAGCTCCCCTTCTTCAAGATTGATATCACCGTTGTCCATTAAGTTACTGTAGCTTCGACGACAAATCGTTCACTTAATTTTTCAAAGATTCAATTGGTCTACAGTCATTAAGATAATAATTCTCTTAATATGTTGAAATTCTTGCAATAGATATTTCTGTTAACAACTTGTTCCTCTGACATCTATTCATTGATTAGGCTGATATCATGGGGCAAACGGGTGTGTTTGCACAGGCTTCGGTTTTCAGTGATAAGGATAGTAGGTTGGTGAACCTGTGTTAACCTTGACAGGTTGCCCTCCAGTGAAGGTCCAGCTTTTCCTTGAAGATACTGACTGATGAGGCTGATACCACTTGTTCGGGTAAGGCGTTTTAGTCATTGACTACTCAATGAGAAAATTGGAACCCCACTTTAAGTTTTTTAGATCGTAGTTTGTGAACTTTCTCGAAGATTATTAGTGCTGTTGGGAGCAAAAAGATAAGACATATTAACACCCAAATCATAATTAAAGGTACGAAATGCCAGTATAAGGTCACATCGCGTCTTACGATACGACAAGTGGAAATGTTTAGGCGTTTAAAACGCTCATCGTAAGGGAGTTTAGGATGACCTTTGACTAATTTCGTTCCCACACGCTGAACACGCTCAAGCGAGTTAGTATCCTTTGCCAGACATGGGTAAGCTGCTTGGATACAGTACTTGAAACGTGGTCTTACATGTGTGGGATATAAAATTCGAAGCATATCCTAGTCAAAAGATTCGAACGCTCGAAGAAGTGACCGTAACGCACGAAAACCTTTGACAGCGGCTGTGTTGCAATGCGTAGTTGTTTTAAGTCATGACTTATTATTACTCCTAATTCTTTATGTTCTTGAACGCATGGAAGAGGTTTACCATCAATAGTATAGCGTTAACTATTACCTTGACCGATGTGCATTAGCATACTATTCCTAGAATTGATTTCTATGCCCTAACATCGAGCTCATCTAACTAAATCGTCCAAGTCAGCTTGAAGATCCAAATGATCAGCTTCACTATCCTATTTTTTATATCACTGAATACCAAATCTCGACTACTGTTTGCAAGAAAATGTAAAAAGGTATATAGTACCGTTGCAATTAATCGTTGGATCAATGTCTTATGATGACTGTCCACTACATATTTCAAGCATGGATTAAGTTTAGGAGGAAAAAGTCCAGTTTATTTCTATAAATCATGCATCTATTGCGGTGTACAAGTTAACAAAATAAATTGTTCGGTAAGTCTTAGAAATTGGTGTTGATCTCATTAGTCTTACTGGGCGCACCCTACTTGAAGGTGCCTAGTCATGTACTCACACCAGATCGCGTGTGGGTATGCCGTGCTACGAATCCCTTTCAACCAGCAACCAGCTAAGAACAAACACTCCATGATACATTAATGGCTTTCCGGATATATCTTCGGACTCATTTATTTATTACTTCTGGTTTGGCCTAGTTGGTACGTTTCGATCATAAAGGTCTCACGGGTAGAAGCGTTTTTGAACTTCAAGTACCTGTTACCTCTTCACTTCAATCTGTCTTGACCTTTTGCAAGTATATCACCTCCTAATGACTCATTGTGTATAAGTTAAAATTGTTCTTCGTTTGCAGCATTAATGAATTATAACGTATTAAAACGTGTGTAGTAAACAGTAAGGAGGGTTGAGGCAACATCATTTGACTGTAGTGAAGTGGAGATAGAATTTACTGAACCCAACGCATTTGCGAGCCTGTTTGTGTAGAGTTTTTGGTCGAAATTCACTGCATTGCTCATTTCAAATGTGTCGGTGAAATTCTACTACTACCAACTCATAGGCTTGCAGATTATATGCAGTCACTTCTAGTTGTTTCATTCTTAAAAGCATTGTATAACAGTGAAAGTTTTAGATTCAAACGGACCTACACGGTCTGAAGTGGTACTTGGAGGACTGCCAGAGTTTTCTACCTGTCGTTCGACGAAGGCGTAGGCCACTGTTTCGACGGTAATATCCTTGACAGTAACCGCTCCCAGCCATCGAGTGAGACGGACCATTTGAAGTTCGTTAGGTTTTTGCCAAGTCGAATCGAACGTCGAGAGTTTTGAAAGTTGATAAGGGTCTAACGACCTTCGATTACTGGTAGCTTACACAAAAACCTTCCTGTTGTTATTCATGTTAGGCCAAAAAATCGTTGTGCGATGAACGTCATAGTTATTCGAACACATGAACCCAAAGGCCGACGAAATATATTGAAGACGTTGTCTTATTGCTTGCGCCTGTCACCCCTCGTGGAGGAGCATAAGCCGCCTACCAGCACTCTCCATCCACCGGTATTTATCCTAGAACTACTTCAGGCCTGTTTAAAATTATTGTATGATGTTATATATATATATATATATATATATATATATATATATATATATGTAAATATCTGCATATGTAATGTCGTCACCACCCTGAATCGCAAGCATCCAGGTTTCCTTACATATTCTCAACTATTCTATTCTTTTTTACTGTTACATTAAACTTCCAGACATTTCTACGGAGCTGAGACTTTTTAATCTAATTCGAAATTGACAGAGGTTTCTACGGTATGGAGTTGGCCTGTTCCATTTGGAGAATAGTGGAATTTGCAACCTCGACGATCGACTGAATTTTGGTCATGTTATGTACAACGCTGATATCGTTTGGTGCTGCGCGGTCATTGATTGGTTTATTTTTTTATATGTGGAATTTGAGTTTTTTCCAATATTTTTGACCATCCAGCTCGGAGAAAAAAATCTCCATAAAAAATCAATTTTTTAATGAGCTTTTCTGTACTTGGTTCGTTGGGTTCCACTCTTTGCACTTCTTGTCGTTCATATAGTATCTTTAAACACATACTCGATTCAATCCTATCATCGAACACTTACCATATATTAAGTCAAGTTTTGACGAGACTCTAATTTATGGACGACATCTGAACGAATCTTAGGTGACCCTGAGAAATACTAGCCAATCAGCAAACAGTCAGTATAGAGTAAAAATGTGTTATACAAAACCAAGGGAATAAAGTGGATACAATTCTTGTACGTGGTTCAAAAACTTGTCGAGGTTAGAATGAGGTTCAGAGGTTATAAGAAAGTAATGCATGCAGTAGAGGAAATCATCCATACGGCTACAGAATAGTCGACCTCTGGAGTCATGATAAAGTCTCAAAAACTCTTTCAGCTTCGACCACATAGCTCCAATATTGTTTATGTGCACTCCGGTTGTTGAGTGCACAAATGCTACGTGTGGATATCGACACGACGCTTATAACCAAGCCCACGTAGAAGTCTGTACGCTCCCCAAACATCCGTATATATTGTAGTACCTGGTTGCAGCCAGTGTTACTGGTGCATTTATTATCCAGTTCGCAATAATTGTCGTAATTTGCATTAGTTATGAATTATATATGCGGTCTTCATCACGAACTGACATCAGCTGGCGCCGTAACCTTGGAATTTCTGAAACGCTTCTGATTGGCTCGTCCGTACATTAGAGTTTCGCTTATGTTTTTATTGTAGCCGTTAAGGTAATACAAACTGTACATACATTTACATTTCATCAATTTTCTTCCAGGTCATCTAAAGTACACACAATCTCTCCTGATGCTTATAGCACTTGCGAAACATCTACACCCATCACCAAAGTGAACGATGTAAAGCTATATAAACATGCTGATGCGTCCACATCGTACTCTGACATTTCTGTCGCTATATCAAACATGAACTATGTACATGGGTATGATATATCACCACGCTGCATCTCGCTTATAAATAAAAATATGAGCAGCCACAATCTGTTTGAATCGACATCACTTATTAATTCTCACAGTCCACACAAAAGCGTCACTTGTTGTGGGCAGTTTTTAGAAAGTGTTGCTAACTCCAAACGCTCAGCAAATCCACAACCGGACACCCTATATAGTGGTTCACAAATTGCAAGTGGAACTGCCCGCTATAAACAGTCCAGTAATGTAAATCTATACTACTCACTCTAACGTATATTCCATTCTTTAACTAAGGATGCACAAAGTGACCACTAAACAGACACCTGCGGCAAGCCTTTATGCAAATATGTCGATCGTAACAACTTTAAGATAAACTCCAATACTTTCAGCAGTGGCAATTCAAAGAACAGTCAGGTGAAACTTAATCCCATCCAAACCATTCACGACATATTACCGTACAAATATCTAGTCAGTGTTTCAAATAATTCCGATTTCGAAATTATGAAAAACACTGAAAAATTAGTTGACCATAATCCATTAGAAGTATTGCAAAGATTCCAATGTATGCAGTGTCATTGTGTACAATATGTCTGACAGTGTGAACTTAAAGTCCGTTGAAAGTATACTACTTCAAGAGTGTGGATTATCTCAATCTTGGTATGTAACACAAAGATTACGCAAAGCACGGACTAAGGCTTCCAGTTAGGTAGTGATAATAAAAACTGCATTCATGTTGCAATACTATGTCATAAACCTAATCATTACTTCTCTGGTACATCAGTACGAGTGTACTTTCTCTTATTTTCATTGGTTTGACTTTTTAACTATCCCGACAGGAAAATATCTCGTACGAAATCCATATTGTAAATTATAGATCACACCCGTGGGAATAGCGTGTACCTGACCTTGTAGAAACATAATAATGTGGGCGACTTGATGTGCATTTAGGCAAAAAGTAGAAAATTTAGCGACGTTCTCAACACAGGGCTAAAGAAGTGTAAATTACGCATTACTTCTCAATGGTAGGCAAAAATGCAGACATTCTGGCGCATTTCCTCATTATTTTTATTCGTGTTGTTGATGTCACAGGTATTCAGTGTTTGACAACGCTTCTACCAGTAACACCTTCTAATATATTTCGTTCCCGCCCAGAGAAATCAAAAGACAGAGTCGAGGAGATTGAGAGAGTATATTTGGCGATGACCAATATATCTGAATTCTCTGATCTAATCTGGCTAGCGATTGCGGTTGATGTTGAGCACGGCGTTACCACACGTGATCTGGTGCTGATGCCTGACCGAGCGCCTTCAGCTAGGTGAGTCCACTAAGACATATGGTCAGCATCCAATGTCGAAAACTTAGTGCTATTTATTTTGGGGATTTATTTACCGCTACAGATCACTCCCCCCCTAGTACGGCAGTGACGACCCTAAGACGTGGCCAGCCAGAAGTTTAAACCCAACGAGTTTGTCGTTGGTAAACACTCTTCTGATAGCTTACTAAATTTAGCAGCGTCTGGTCGTCTTTCCTTACTATATGGGACGGAGGTACAACATAGTAAAAAAAGAAA